ATCGCGGGGCGGGCGGCGGCGGCCAAGGGAGAAGGTCACAGGAGAGGTTTGGGTGGGGGGACTAGCAGATCTAGGTTTCAGTGGGTATTCACCAAGCAAATAGAAGGTGGGGCAGTTTTGCAAAAAACACCCCGGAGCTCCCGCGATCGCTAAGCGATCTGGCGGTGATGGAAACAGAGAGAGGGGAGTGATGGCGGCGAACCCGGCGGGGACCCTGGCGGCGGAGAACCCGACGGTGACCCTGGCGGCGGAGTTCCCGGTGGCTAGTGAAGCCATGAGCGAGGGGGGTTTCTTCGGGGGCCCAGCCAGCAAGCTGGATTGGGAATCCATCAAGACAGAGTCGAGGCGTATCCTCCGGTGATCTCCAGATTGGGAGACCTGCTGGAGGTGAATGAAGTCGCATGCAAAGGAGCTGATGGAGGGGATACCAGGTGAGATTCGCTTCCATCAGAAGGGGAGAGTGGCAGACGAAAGAGGCAACATCGACAATCAGGAGGTACTGCCATACATTAGGAGATCTTCTCCAAAGGAAGTGGTCCCGTCCATAGTAGGATTTGTGGATTTGAGTATTAATGTTTTGGAAAGAAATGTTGCTGACCAGATTCCTAGAGAGATTTTCTCATTGGGAATTATAAAAAAGGAAGAGGGAAATCAGGGGACGGCTTTTATCTGCACATTTAGGGAGAAGAGAGAAATTTAGGGGGATTTTAAGTAGGAAACTGCTCTTTCAAGACCCTTTATTTTTCTTTAAATGCATGAATTTCGCCCCGTTTGTGGCGAGGAGACACTATTTTAACACCGAGGGGGATTGTTCGAGGTCCGTAGTTCATCATACAGGAAAAAGCCTCTGTTTTCCTACCGGGTTTTCTTGTCTAGACCTGCTAGTTTGGTGAGAAGTGGAGAGATGGAGAGGAAAGGGGAGACGAGGGAGGTAGGAAAGAGCTCCAGAAGTGTGCCGACGATGATGGAGAAGAATCCTCCTGCTTCGGCCTCCTCGCATGAGGGCGTGGGGAAGACGGCGCCGATGCGGCCCCATGGGGATGGCTCCCCTCTAATCATCGACATGGAGGCCGCGCGGAGAGCGGCCAGAGGATGCTTGGTGGTAGGGCGATTCCTCTCGCCTTTCCAAGTTAATCCTCAGATCCTCGTCGACGACCTTCGCGCATCGTCGGCCTGGAGGTTGCAAGGCGGGGTCACTGTTTAGGAAGTGGCCAGCGTCGACGAGAGGTTCATCCTCAACTTCTCCAATGACGTAGACAGACGTCTCATGTTGAAGGCCCAACCATGGCACCACAACCTCGATGGGATCATCTTCGCCGAGTTCGACGGCAAGGGCGACCCAGCGGAGGTGGACCTTGGATCCATGGCTATATGGGCCCAAGTTCGTGACCTACCATTTGAGCTTAAAACTGAGGATGTGGGTCGGTCTCTAGGGGGCCAACTCGGTGAAGTGATCACCGTTTCACACCAGGATCATTTGATTGTTGAGAAGTACTTGTGTGTGCGTGTGAAAATCCCACTACATGAGCCAATCAAGAGTAGGGTAGAATCCACCCCTTTAGGTAGTAAAGAAAAGCTTTGGTTTGATGTTCGCTATGAAAAATTGCCATCGTATTGTGAATGTTGTGCGCTGGTAGGACATATGTCAGAGAGGTTTTGTAGTATCCCTAAGGAGAGTAGAATAGCTAAATTTGCAAAAAATCTCAGTGTAGAGGCTTACTGGGAAGGTCAAAAAGCTAGTAGAAGAGCTATGTTCACTGGTTATAGTAACAATAGCATGTCCAGGGCCACCGAAGGAATGGTGGCCAAGGTAACCAAAGCTGTAAATGATCCCACTGTGCAAGAAAAAGGGGTTGCGTCATCCACAGCGACGACTACCCTGTTGACTGGAGGTCAAGTCCGGGGAGGGCTTTCGCTCGGCCAGGAGGGCCGGAGTCATACGCTCTCCTTGTCGGCTAGTCCGGACTGTAGGGCCGCCCGTCCACGTTAGCCTTGGCCAGGAGGGCCAAGGTTTAGCGGTAAGGGGGGCTTCCAACAAGGGAGTGCAGCAACTCGGCCAAGTGGGCCGACCCCCTGCTGCATCTGCGAGCTTCCGGGGGGGCAGTGTCCCTGGCCAGGAGGACCGGGGGCAGCTCCAGCCCCCATTCCCGCCACTAGCCAGGGCCAGGAGGGCCAAGGGCAGGTGGCGATGACTGCTCACCCCACTGCTGTTGTGCCTGGCCAGGAGGGCCATGATGGGGTGCTGGTGGGGTTTGAAAACCTATCAAACGAGTCTGCTGCTGTTTTGGCTGGGTTCCAGGCGAGTGTTACTGGCCAGGAGGGTCAGGGGGTCATGCAGCTGGGTAATCCTGAACATTTGCTCTTTAAACCCAGTGTGCTGGAGGCTCTCTCGGGAGCCGTTGCTGCAAGACTAGCTACTCAAAATGCAACTGATAACCCAGTTTTCACTTTCAATGCTTTAAAGAAGTCCATGCAGGGCAAAATAAAAGGAAAGGGAAGGAATGGAAAGAGGGGAGGAGGAACTGGCTGTTCAGAGGAAGCACACAAAAACATCATAGGTAATAAAAGAAACCTATTTGAAGCCCCAACACATGGTAGTGAGCTGGATTTCTCTTTTGAGAAAGCCATGGATAGTTATGAGCGTATGTTGTACGGGGATATAAATGTATCTTTTAAGAGAGTGTGTATGGGTAGAGTGGAAACAGTGAGAGATGGGAATGGGGTGATAACACACGTAGCTAAAGAGGTTGAGGAGAAAGAAGACGTTGTCGGGCAGCAGGGAAGGGAATCGGTTGGAGATGATGGTGCATCGGCGACCTCCGAAGAGGAGGTACGCCGGGCCAACTGAAAATAATCGGTTGGAACTGTCGTGGTATGCTCTCTCTTACGGCAGTTCGCGAGCTCTTGGACCTACAGGAGCGCACCAAAGCAGAGTTAATTTTCCTTTCAAAGTCTCATTTGAATAAATGTAAAGCCGATGAGCTTCGTCGTGTTTTGAGTTTTGATTCTATGTTTGTAGTGGAGAGTGATGGCCGAGCAGGTGGCCTTGTCTTGTTTTATCAGAGAGTGAATAAAGTTGATTTGAACTACGTGTCGAATAATTTTATTGATGTTCTTTTTATGAATGGGAATACTCTATAGTGGCGTTTCACCTTTCTTATGGCCATTCGGATTGCAGTGACCGTGCTTTATCATGGGATGATATTCGAAACTTGTATAATAAGGGCGATCACCCCTGGGTAGTTTTAGGAGATTTTAATGAAATTTTGTTCTCATCAGAGAAAGAGGGAGGGAATGCAAGACCAAATGCGATGATGCGAGATTTTCATAATTGTTTGGGAGATTGTGGACTAGCAGATATGGGATGTATGGGTGACTTATTTACATGGAGGAGGGGCGAAATTAGGGAAAGACTGGATCGAGCGGTTTGTAATGTGGATTGGGCGAATAAATTCCCTCGAGCGGCGATTATAAATGAAGAGCATGTGCACTCAGACCATCGCCCTATTATTTTAGACACGGAGTATTTTGACGATAATATTTTTGACAGCTCAAAAACTCGAAGGAGACAATTTGAAGCTCGATGGCTGAAAGAAGAGATGGTTACGGAAGTTGCACGTACAACTTGGAAAAAAGCAAAGATGTTGGGCATAGGACCGTCTCTCGCTGATCGTACACAAGCGGTACACACAGATTTGCATACTTGGGATCGTGATATCCTCAAGGGTACGAAAAAAAGAATTAATAAATTAAAAAAAGATTTAGAAAAACTACAGAGGTGGCTAATGAATGTTAACTCTCTTGCACGTAAAAAGGAGACTATTGTATTGATTGAAAATTTATTGGAACAAGAGGAGATATACTGGCTACAACGAGGTCAAGCTAACTGGTTATTGCATAGCGATCGCACATTAGTGCAGAACCGGGCAATAGCACCGGTTCGTAAGGCCCTTTAGTGCCGGTTCCATAACCGGCACTAAAGTGTAGGCACTAAAGGCCCCCCGCTTTAGTACCGGTTCAGCACGAACCGGTGCTAAAGGGAAACCACGTGGCACGAGCCACCTCCGGGGCCCGGGAGCCCTTTAGTACCGGTTGGTAACACCAACCGGTACTAAATGTTTGTGGATTTTTGTTTTATTTTGTATTTTTCAATTAAATTTGTGTTATCAATTTAATTTAGGATTGTTTTACGTTATAATGAGTTGTAGTCGTCGTCATCATCATCATCGCATATTAATAAATAAATAAACTCTAGCTAGCTAAATATCATCGTAGTCGTCTAATTACCACTATTTAATCATCATAGTGATTACCGCTAGCTATCTAATCATCACCAACAC